TTGTTGTTGTTTTGGGTGTTTTTTGTTGTTTTGTATTTATTTTGTATTTTGTATTTTTTTGTGAAGAAAAGGAGGGGGGGTCAATGTTTATAATGGTTATGATACTCTCCTCATGGTGCTTTGGTCCTATGTTTTTCAGTGAGTAAATGTGACTTTCTGTCCTCAGCTTATAGCCCAATTTCTGACAAGCATTTTATCTCCCCATCTTATTCAAAGTTTACTCATTATTTGGTCGCTTTCAAGCACAAGGGGGCTAACCCGAAAAAAGCTGTATTGAGAAAATCGATGGTAAAGTTTTTGGACCCTTGTTCAGTTTCTTTAAAAGACAAGGAGAGTTTCTCAATAACCAAACAAATATACATACCAACAAAACAAAACTTCTCCCATACGTAGGGCAATGCCCACTTTTGGGTGTAGGTCAAGATTTCTGGAAACCCCCAAAATTTGGGTTAGCACTCTTGTCCTTAAAAGCGACCATTTATGTACCCGCCCATCTCTCAACATAACTCTCTTTGATCTATATGTCTATCAATCAGTATCTGTCTATGTGTCTATTATATCTTTCTGTTTATCAACCGTACGGTGATCGTCCAACCTTCCATAACCATTATTCTATTTTGCTCTTTCTCTCTTCTTCCCCATCCTTTCAACTGTTTGTGGGCGGTTGGCAGGTGCTCTGGTGTGGTTTGCTCCTTCTTTCCTATCAAACATCTAACGTCCTTATCTCCCCTTCTTCTTTTTTATGTTTGTGTTACTCTCTTGTAACACCTCTAATCTTCTGGCGCTCATATGACCTTATGCAGTTGCGAGCGCTGTAAAACCTCTACTAAAACAAAACATTTCAACTGTTTATCTGCTCACCTGCTTTCTATGTATTTATTTCTCTATGTTTTGTTTGTCTCCAGGGCAAGAATGACCTCCAGACAGAGGCTGACAGAGCGGCTCAGAGATGTATCGTGGCCTCCCTGCACAAGCAGTTCCCCAAGGTGGCCATTTTTGGAGAGGAGGTAAGGACAAGTGATCTTGATGAGTCCTCTATATGTCCTTTATGTCTTTTTTCAAATCTCTACAAAATATAACTTTGGTCTACTGTTCAGATGTAGGCCTACTTAGCCCAAAATTTAGATTTTTGAAAAAATTGTCGGTTGCATTTGCTCAAGAAATATTTTGTCAAAATTCAGATTTTTATGTTGAAAAAAGGAAGAAAAGATACAGAAAACAAAAGTACAACTGTTATAAGAGTGAAACAGTTTTTTCTCCTGAACAATTTTGCTTCCTGGGCTTAAAACAATTGAACAGCTTTCTGATGATAAATAGGTCATTTTGAAGGAAGGATTCACACCATCAAGTCACAGAGATCTGTTTTAATCTACGATTGGTTGAGAGGTTAGAAAGAAAGAGAACTGGACATGATAAGACAAAGTAAGTGTGAAGAGGTTGTGGCGTATTAGTACCACTTGTAAGTTTCCCTGGAAGCTGAGAATATCTCTGATTGTTTTAGGGTCTGCTGTGGAGTTGAAAAGGGCATAGAGCATGGACAATTGCAATTATTATTATCATTAGTATTATTAATATTATGATGATGATGATGATGATTGTTAATGTTATTATTATTGTTGTTTTGATTATTATTATTATTATTATTATTATTATTATTATTATTATTATTATTATTATTATTATTATTACTACTTCGTTGGAGAAAGAGTTGCATCTCCTTTCAGTAGAACAATGGACCGGTATCCTGGTCTGCTCGAGGTGGTTATTGATTTAGTGTCCCTGTTGCTTGAAACGACCCTTGCCCGACAACAGCACTTTTCGTTTTCAATTATCTTAAATCAAAGGTGTGTCCTTCCCTAAAAAAGGACCCAGCGACCATCTTGGTTCCACCTGTTCTGTTGAAGACATTTTCTTGTTTTGTTTCTGAAATAGCTCTTGTAGAACCTTTGCTCCTGATCTTTTTACACAAAATAACTCATTCCCTAATACTGGATAAATTTTTGCTTAACACAGCTCCTGACAGGCAGCAATGCATTCTTATGTTTTCACCTCATCTTTCCAGTCTTTGGATCCCATGGAGAAAATCCCAGATGACTACGTGACCAAAGATCTGGACCCAGATGTCATGTCTAAAGTGTGTCCAGAAATCTACAAAAACGTCACAGATGATCAGGTAAGTGATTACGCCCTGTTCTCTTTTCAAAACCAGAATAGCCTTGCTGTGAAGAGTGTCTGTTTTCTTTCTGTTGTGTTGAAAAATGTCCATTTCAGTGCAGACCCAGCCTAAACTACTTTTCAATTCTTTCCATACTTTGTAACTGAACATTTCGACTGCTTTGCACTAGACTCCATCTTACACCATTTTGAAAAGCTAGGTATAACAGAGTCTTTCACGTGGGTGGTTGGCGGGTGCTCTGGTGTGGTTTGCTCCTTCTTTCCTATCAAACATCTATCGTCCTTATCTCCCCTCAGGAGAATTCTTTGTCTGTTAAGAGTATAGGACATGCCTTTATAATACTTGTTTGAGTAGCACACCCACCCATGGGACTCCTTGTCACATTGCAGAGGTGTCTCCAGTCACATGTTCGATTTTCCAGTTAGTGACCTCACTTCTTCCGATCTCACGCTACCTCTACTATATGCAGGGTCATTATTTCGTGTCTATCCGAGACACCAACTTGTACATTTTGAATCAGAAGTAGATACTTTACCAGCAGGTTAAATTGTGTTTCAGAAATAACATTGTTAGTAACACACGCGGCTAATAGTAGTAGTGGTAGTGGTAGTGGTAGTAGTAGTAGTAGTGGTAGTGGTAGTAGTAGTAGTGGTAGTAGTAGTAGTAGTAGTAGTAGTAGTAGCAGCAGCAGCAACAGCAGCAGTGGCATTAGGCCAAGTAGTTGTAAGATGATGTGTCCGCTACGTCTTTAAAGAGTTAAGTAAAC